CTGATACCAACTGTGACATCCCCAATTTCACGGCCTGAAAAAACTGATTTGTTTATGCTTTATTTGAAAATCAGAGTATCCTTTAAAGAAATATGTTGCGGAATTTGTTCCCAAAAATATGATAAAGAATTTATCAAATCATTTCCGAAGAAATGTACTTTCATTATATTAAAAACCTCGGGATGTCATTGTCAATACAAATCAAAATCATAAACAGAAACAACATAGGCCTTACAACATCTATTTATTCTAGTGGCCTATAATCCATTGATCTCTCATCAGATCATCACTCATGTGCTCTCTTGCCACTACCTGTATACAAGAAACTGAGTGAGTCAGACTTGGGGAGCCTGGTGAGCACATAGGGTTTTCAACCCATAATAATTAAGTTTATTAATTTCCTCAAATCAATCAACCCAATTACTCATTCCCGTTATCCTCACTATTTGTCCCTAAAGCATATAAATTAAGGTACCTAGCCTAAGGATTTTCATCGGGATGACAACACTGCTTAGGGTATTCCTCGGCAATACATGTCAAATAAGGCAACCATGAAGGGGATGGAGTACACCTGGTGAACACTTAGTTCAAACACACCTACAGGTTGCGAGCCTGCCAGCATTCCACTAGACTGTCTAGAATAGTCCGTGGTCGTCATCTATACTCCTCTAGATGACTGGATCATCTTAAACATCGAGGCCTCTCATCATTTATTTCATCATCTATATCATCTACCCATCTTTACCCATCATAATTATAGGTACAAAATACATATACAGTTTAAATCGAATAAAACATGTATATTTTGTTCATCCAGCATAAATATCAAGTACACAGATAATATGCACACATAGCACGTAATTTATATTAAATACTTCATATCTATGTGTAAGATGAAAGTAACTATGCACTCACTTGTTAAAAGTGATGATTCCAAACTTGGGCAACGCTTCGCTTCTAACAATTTTATTTTCCTTCGACGAAACCTAGTATCATTACCGCCAGATTTTAGTCTAATATTTATTGCGACTATTTACAAGCATATTGTTTTATAAGTGTTAAACAATACTTTTCAACCACTATGTACAGGCAGGGGTCAGACATGAAACACCGGAGGCGACGATTATAAGTCGGTGGATAAAGAGTCTAGAGAAAGATATCGAGAAAAAAAGAGATCTCAAGATGATAAGGACGGAGCCAATGTCGGGGTTATCGATGACTCTGGTGTTGGTATAGAGATTGACGACTACAGATCACAGACTGGCCGGCAGAATATGTGTCGTCGGAGGGAGGTAGCAGCAACATCAAAAGAGGAAAGCCAAGGAGAGGGTCTATCCGAGGAGGAGAGGATAAGACAGAAGGCTCGAAAGAAGGGGTCGTCCGAGGAGGAGGCAGAAGAAGAAGAAGATGAGGCATTTGAAGAAGCCAAGGAAAGAGCTCTTGTTTGGGGTCGACAAGTGTATTATTATTTAGGAGGAGAAATACGAAAGGGAAAAATATTGAACCTAATTAAGGGACCTTCGACGACTATAAGAAAAGGTCGTCGGAGGTGGAGGAGGGCGGCTGCGGGGTGTAGTCAGCAGTAGAGTTTTAACGTAGAGCTTTGATACCGTGTAAGATAATAACTTTCCTTTTCTTTAAAAGACAATTACATAGGATTATATATAGAATATTTAAACTCGAATGGATAAACCCAAAGGGGCTTGGGCCTAAACCCTAATCATTAATATTGTGTTCTCTAAAATATATGATTAGATGTTCTTTGTGTGCTGAAACATAAATTAGATGCAAAAATCAGATTTTTATTGTTATTACTTTGTTGAAATCTGAAATTAGATGAAAAAAAGTGAAATTAGATGCAAAAATTATAGATTAGATGTTATTTGTTTGTTGAAATATGAAATTAGATGCATAAATCAGATTTTTGATGCTATTACTTTGCAAAAAGCTGAAATTAGATGTAGAAATATGAAATTAGATGCTATTTGTTTGTTATATGAAATTAGATGCAGAAATCAAAATTCTTGAACTTTCTTTGCTGCATGTTTGAACTGAATATGTTTAAATCAGAATTTTTTGCGTTTTTGAACTGAATATGTTTAAATCGGAATTTTTTGAAGTGTATACGTTGAATTAGAATTTTTATTATTAATTTATCATAGACATGTCCCAAAAAGAGGACTAGAATTCTTTGAAATGGTTTGAGTTATATTTTTATTCAAATTATTATTTTGTATTTTCAATGATTGATGTTTAATTTAGATTTTCTATGGCATTTTGTAAGACATTTTATATTTTTTTTATAATGTCATTTAAATATATTTTTTTCAAATATATACATTTTATTCGGTAGAAAACAAAAAACAGAAGGGTAAAATGATCATTTTTCACAATCAGCACAGTCATTCAAATCCGTAATCAAGCAACATATTTTTAAACAAAGGCAGGTACAGTCAGAGCTTCAAACCCAGTGGGGTCGTGATTTAGTCAGATCTGGCTCAATCAACAATTATCAAATAACCCCTTACTCCATCCGTCTCAAAATTATTGTCCACGTTTGACTTTTGAAGTCTTTCCATGTCAACTTTGACCATAAATAACTTTATTTGTGTTATATAATTTTTAATGAAACTTATAACAATGAAAATACATTTAAAGAACAATTTATTTATATATCTTGCATAAAAAATTAGATAACAAAAAGTAAATTATTTAAGATCAAAGTTGAACAAAAGAGACTTAAAAAGTCAAATGTGGACAATAATTTTAGGACGGAGGGAGTATTATTTAGAGGTTAGAAGGCGGTAGAAATTTGTAGAAGATTGTTCTTCATTTGGAGAGACCCACCTCTAAAAAGTTTGTAAAACTATCGTATTTTTATCATTTTTCATTTCGGGTTTCATTTGGTGTTATTGAGTTGGAAATCTTTTTTCATTTCACTGTTACTATCCATGAGCTTAATAATCTAATTTTGAAATTTCAGAGTTTCTTTTTATTTGTATAAAAATATCTTATTGAAATCTTTCTACTTATGTCTATTTCAAAATGTTTATATCACTGTTTTTCAATAAAATATATGGTTTTAATCCCTTATATTATACATAATTTTCATTTACATTTTTTGCTATATTTTAATAAAAAGATAAAGTATTTTCTCAAAATCAAGAATTATTATCGGGTTTTTGAATTGAGCTTGAAACTCATGAGTTTCTTTTTTCTTGAAATCTGAAATTTGGGAACAAAATCTGAAATGTCAATAAAAAATGTCTTCTGTGTTATCCTCAATGACCATTCCAAACTTATTGGTTATTTTTCAAAGAATATATTTTTAGTTATTTTTTAATATTAACTTGAAATATGACCCATTCGTAATATGTTTTCTAATTTTTATCCCTGAATTCAAACATAGGAATCTTGTAAATGTCATAATTTACAGCTTTGTCTTTTGTGTACATGTGATCTTACTAATCTATGATCTATCTAGACCCGGCAGCAAAGCAGCTTTTGACCCTCATCTACTCCAAACCCATGTAAAGTTAATGGGTTTTGATTATATTTTATGATTCGTTTACTCGCTAACGACCTGTACCCGTTAACTCTTTTATTGAAAGGGTCGGGTATAGTTCACTATCGATCTGATCCGTTTATTACCCGTTCCGTCTAAAATTTTAAAATTTATATTTATTTTTTTATAAATTATACATTTATCACCCACACATGTTCTGTACAAGACTCGAGGAGTTCGATCGGTCTACTTCCACTTTCTAATTCATAATGACCGAATTCAAAATGACTCCTAATACAAATAAACATGTGAAACTGTAGAAACGTCGGTGACTATAAAAGATTGGTTACCCTCATGGAAACAAAAAAAAATATTGTTTTAACTCTAGAAGTCACTTAAATTTTTACTTGAAATAATTTTATATATACTTATATGTGCTTATGTTTTTTTTCTGAAGTGATTTGTGAGTGAGTGGATCCGTTGGACTTTGGGTTTTTTGAAGATGCATTTTGATGTCTATATTTTCTTATGCATGTTTACAATAGTAGACATCTGTTATGTTTTGAAAATGTTATTTATTAAGCATAATTGAAGTTTGTTTTGAAATGAATGTCGTATGGTTTTAGCGATTCATGTTATATGTGTTGTAATGCATAATTATAACATAATCGTAATATTGTAAATGGGTCGGGTAAGAGGGTTGAAAATCCGTTGATCTGTTGAATAAGAGTATGAGTTTAATTATTCAAAATCATATGTTATGTATCGGGTTTGGATCAACATTTGAAAATTGCTTAATGAGTTTGGATCAAGACCGATCCGCTCCATTGTCAGATCTAGATCTATCATCGTTTTTGTTTATTATATTCTTATTCCACCTTTGTTTATTGATTTCTTATCCATCCTTGTTCATGCGCTTTTGATTTAATTTACTTTTCAATTACTCTTCATTTTATTTTATTTTTTGAAAGATTTCACGCATCACAGATATGAGATCTTATCATAGCTAGACTTTGACTTCCCAATTCTTCAAACTGTCAAAATTGATCCCAAACGCCACCATGTTTTTCTGGTGAAATCCAAGAGTCATATGGTTCTTATCTCCTTTCGTTGAAGAAAGAAGATCAATAAATCCAAAATGTTAAGTGAAAAATCTATGAATCCATCAACGTCTTCAATCAATTGCAAACCGTTGAAGCTATAGATTCACTTTCTGGTCTCAAAAAACTATTGAAATGTCAACTTGGCAAGGAGATTGATCTATCTGCGACCTATAATAATTAATCGAACTGTAAAAAAAGCAATATATTTGCGATGTTGTGAGTTGTGAGTAGCGAGTGAAATCATAAGGAGGAATAGGGAGGAAGATAGGAAAGCATACTATGATGCAGATGTGTAGGGTTAAAATAGGTATTTTATGGCATGAGGATGTTTTGGATTTAAATTTACATGGGTATTAATAAAACATAGGAATTTATTGGAATTAAATTCCAATCCCAGTAAAATCCAACAAAATGCATTCAACCAAACATCCCCTAAAGAAAATATTCATACATAACTTATTTTTCACTTTGTTTCACACTTTCACACACACATAACACATTACTGAACCAAGATTTATTTTGAGTACATTCAAGAACAAGATATGCCAACCCTACATGGATTCATATCCCTTTTGGATAGAGTTGTAATTGAGGTTATACTTTGCTTGTTGATTCGGATAGAATACCCCAAAATTTTTCTCAAGTTGAGGTTCCTTGTTGTTTTCATCAAACATTGCAAACAAGTACGTCTCTATAGCTCTTCCCGGCCTCTTAGGTGTACCCTGTGACGCGTGTGCAACCATATTCGTGTAATATGTGCGCGCATTCTCAAATGTTGCTCCAAATGCACCGGCTGATGGCCATCCGGTTTCTGATATCACAATTTCCAATGAAGGTCCTCCAGCTTTCTCCAATGCCGAGTACATCACATCTACCATCGCGTCAAAAAGGTTTTGGTATCCATTGCCTCCATCTTGTACTACAGTTCCTGGAGAAGTAAATGTCGCATATGCAAGCGATATGGCACTTGGATTTCCTGAATAACTAAAAGAACAAAACAAGGACTTAGATTGAAAATTTACCATTTAAAAGGGGTATGATTGTAACATATGTATCAAAGTCTAGTCACATTCAATATTGTCAATTTGATTATATAGTTCGCTTTGGATCTTATATTCCAACTAGGCGCATTGTGATTGAGTCAATAATTTGGGTCCCACTAGTTGTAGTACTAATATGTCAAGTGGTTTTAATTTCAGAGAAATAGGATAAAACGATGTAACAAATATAATTTTATAATTACATATTAATACTCTTTCCTTTCGATAATGTAAAAGAATGAAAGCTTAAAAGACATGAAGAGAAATGTACCTAAAGTAAGGGTAGACATTGACAAGCAATGGTGCATTGATGGCAACTAGGAACCCGATGATGGGGTCGATATAAGCCCTAACATCACCCCTAAACGCACCTTGTGATGGAGGGAAATCGACACCAATCATAGTCGTGTCAACCGATGTTGAAACTTTTATTTGGTCCTTGAGCCCATAAAACGAGACAACTTCATGGATATTGGTCAAAGCAGGATGCACTAGTGGGGCCAGTGCAGCATCAGACGGCTTAACCTCATTTCCAACTGCTATGTAACGAAATTTAATACTAGGCCAACTTGCAACGTTTTTCCATACCCAATCAAATGCATTGTCACGACTTGCTGCAACGTATTGGAGATCTGAATTTGGGACTCCTATCATCACTTCAATGTTGGATCCACTCAATGCTTGTAGAACAGCTTGGTTAGGATCGTAGAGTCTCATTCGCCGGATGTTACGTGAGTTGTATAGACTTATAACTTGTGCCGGTGATGGAAGATTGTTTCCAAGTAGACCATAACATACACCGATTTGTGATTCTGCATAATAATTGAATATTTTTATTTCTAGACTACTATTTATATAACGTTAAAGTATATACCACGTACATGACTAGAACTAGAATACAGAAACCATTTATTAAGGTTACAATTTGGAATTAAATGTACCTGTTGTATCTAAAAACGCAACAAAGAGACCCAAAAGCAGAAGTAGAGAAGCCATGGAAGACATTTTTATTTTATTATGTAACGTTTATGAGCATATGCCACTTTATATAATGGCCAAAAACACCAGAAGTTTTTATTAAATATTAAGGCGGCTGATAGCAAGCTCTAAAACAACTAAATTCATACAAACTGAAAATAAAGGTATTCTAGAGTAGAACACGGGAGATGTATTTGCTTATGCACAAGTTGTGATTATGAGCAAGTGGTACTTTATGTAATGGGGAAAAAATATAAATATACATAAATATTGAGGCTGCTAATGTTATAGGAAATATCTAAAGATGGTTTTATCGTATGTTTTGGCCATCTTTAGACACAATTTAAAGTTAATTTTATTTAAATGCATCATTTCTTAAACAACTCTTAAAAACACATACTGCTAGCTGTATCGCAGCCCTTACAAGATTATAATAAAAATAAACTTGGTTATTAGATGTAAATTAACATATATTAACATGGTCGTTTTCTGTAGAAAAATAACAAATTATTCTAATTCTCATAAAGTTTTTCAATAAACAAACCAAAAATATTTATGAATTCCTAATGGAGAATGAAAAATCATTAAATGGTCTGGTCTGAGAAATCATAATTAAGCTTAGAAATTAGGTAAATGGGTGCAAAATAAATGTCATTTTATCATAATCATAATTTGAAACTCTTCGATCTATCTCTTAATTAGTATATCTCAAAAGATTTATTTTTCTAAAGTGCATTGGATTATAATTTAATATTAAAACTATTAAAACCAAGGATCTAAATGGCGTGAGGCGTCAGTTTGGCAGACAAAGTCAAGCCTAAACCATGACGAACCATAACGTTTTTCAAAACGTGACAAATTTATATATATTTAAAAAAATCATATAATTATATAATTATATCAAATATATCAAGTTTTTAGAAGTGTTATATTATCATTATATATATATATATATATATATATATATATATATATATATATATATATATAGAGAGAGAGAGAGAGAGAGGAGGGTTCAATTGAGAAAAAAAAGGTTGAGAATAGGGGAATCATTCTCAGCCAATCATTTATTTTTGCCACAAAAGCCTCCAATGTACCGGCGGAAATGGGAAAGGAATGCACATGTATTTTCCAACAAAACATGTTTCCTTAAATTATGTTAAACATTACCTTAATATATACAAAAACATAGTTTTTTTTTTTTTTTTTTAATTTTTAAGAAGCTATTTTTATCGAAAAATGATTTTAAATATACCAAAATTCATGATTTTTTATTCTCTACAAATAGACATCCATATTGATATAGTTTTAAGATAAAATAAAAACAAATTATATTTTCAGCTATCGTTATTCATAAGTGAATAAAAATGAATCAGGTTTTTACTACAGTACATTCGTTATTCACTTATGAATAAAAACTATGATTAATTTTTTTTACAATTTAAGTATCATTCATATATGAATATAGCATATACTAAACATAATATATTCATATTTAAATATTAGACGATGCATTCACTTGTGAATATTACATAGTATATTCACTTGTGAATGTTAGATGGTATATTCACTTATGAATATTATATGATATTTTCATATGTGAATATTATATAGTATTACATGGTATATCACATGAGAATAGTACATAGTATATTCACTTGTGAATATTAGATCGTATATTCACTTATGAATAATAGTTGGTATATTCATATGTGAATATTGCACAGTATATTCATATATGAATATTACAAGGTGTTTTCAGAAATATATATAATTTTTATATGTTATTCACATATGAATAACATACAGACTTGCATATTTGTTTTGTGTTTTAATAATCACATATTGATTTGGTGAGAAAACATATTCATATGTGAATATAACGTGGTAATTTAGTTTATGCATTTCATCAAACAGTTGGAGTGCATACAAGTTAACTTTTTTAAAATGTGATAAATATGATACTTTGACTATTTAAATCTTACAAATAGTAGATTGGTAGAGAATATATGAAAATTTTCAAACAAAAAATGATTTGATCTTTTTCTAACCTTATTTCGATGTTTTATTTGATGAACGATGTTGAATGAATGATACGAATTGAATTTTTTGTTGATTATTGATGATGTTGTTCTAATGATGCTGGGAGTATAATTAATCGTAGATGTTGAAGATATGCTCGTATTCAAGCAGAATTGAAGGTTGGATTGAAAGAGCAAAAAACGAATGAATTTCAACTGTTATCTAATTCTCTACACTTACGTATTTGTGATTGAAGGCTATTATATCATATACAAGTTTGTCACCGTGTCCTTTATGGTTAGAGGCTAATTAAATGAGTGGCTGAGAATGATTCCCCCATTCTCAACCTTTTTATTGTCTCAATTGAACTCACCTCTCTCTCTCTCTCCTCTCTCTCTCTCTCGCTCTCTCTCTCTCTCTAATATTATATCTATATATATATATATATATATTATATTCTATATATATATATATATATATAATATATATATCTATATATATATATCAAAAAAAAAAGTTGACAAAAACTCAATTGTTTTAGACCCGATCAGACAAAACAAAAAACTCACGCCTACTCGTGACATAACGCGATAAGGCACGTCATGACACGTTATTTGAGCATCACGTTTTAATATACCTGGCTTGGATGTTTTTATAACGGTCACATCACGCAACGTGTCATAGCACGCCTTTTAGAACCATAATTAAAACTCTTCCGTAATTTCAACTAATCAACCACTACTATTTCAAAAGTTTACGATATATAATATTTATAATTAGAGGAAGACCCATCGTGTCGTTGGGCATTGCTTTGGATGGGTATGGTATGATTTGTTACGATAGGAATGAAAAGGGAAGCTATAAGAATATATGTGAAATAAGTTGGATGTACAGATTGGAAAAGTTGTACAACTGTTCAACCTACTTGACCAAATTTGGCAATCAACTTTGTATTCACCAGAAACTTAAAAAATACGTTACTCTAATAAACAATTTTTATAAGAAAAAACATCTCTTAAAAATTGTTAATCTAATGTCGAAAAAAAAAGATTAATAAAATGGAGTGGTAACCATTTCCAAATGCTAGTGGTTTGTTTGTGAACATGTAACGTAGATGACGTGACGTATATGTAACAGCATTTTCCTAATGGATGGATGGGTATGGTATAATTTATTTATTTATTTATTTTTCTTATAGAAAGATGCTCCTTATTAAACGTGAAATATTAAAATATTGGAAATTTTATATGTTCAAAGTTTTTTTATTAACAAGTTCTAAATCTTTTGTAACATTTTAAAATTTGAGTAAAATTTAATCATTTATAAACAATTTTTCAATATTTAATAACCATGTCAAAAACGGAGACAGTTTAATTATATAGACGTTGTTTGATTTTCCGAAGCAAAAATTTTATAAAGTCCGCGGACCATCTCTGCAACATTCTGCAGCAGAAGAGATGGACAAAACAATTGTAGTCTGTAATAAGAAGTCTCTTTGTTTTTTGACATCTGGCTGGTGTAATAAACTGATTTTACAAACTGAAAATAGAATTTAATACCGAAATTTAAATAATTCTAGTTTTAAAACATCGAAAAAAATACTAAAAACAACATGTTAAAAACAAAAATATAAAATTTCTAAAAAATATAAAAGAAGCTATCATATTTTTTATAGAAAAACTAATTTTAAAGAACATAAAAAAAGAAATTTATAAAAAAATTAAGAACATATTGTAAACAATGTCTAGAAAATCGTAAAACAATCATAAGTGTTAAAAAAAATGCAACTGGAACTGAAAATATTATTAAAAAAACGTTAAAAAAATTAAAAATCAAAGTTTTTTTTAAAAAAATATCAAGTTATAAAAAATTATAGAAAGACTAAACTGCACAAATGGTCCTTGTGGTTAGCTGAAAATTATCACTTTGGTCCAAAAATGTTTAGACAAGCACCAGAGGTCCAAAGTTTTCATTTTGTTGCGAGTTTGGTCCAATTTACTTTAAACTTTTTTGTAATGACGATTTTACCATTGTTTTTTGCTTTTTCTTATTTATTTAAATATTTTTATGATTAAAAAAATTAATAAAAATATACCTCTCTCTCTCTCTCTATCTCTCTCGGAACACAATCCAAAAATCCAAAACACACCATAATTCTAAAGTTCTTCAAAAAAAATACACACATACAAAACAAACAAACTCATAAATCTAAAACATTTATGGAACTAAATAAACAAATTATCCTAAACTCGAATGTGAAGCACCAAAAAAAAGCAGAAAATGAATATGAAATGGTATGTTCTTCAAAATTATTTCTGGAACTAAAAAAACCAGAAAACAAATCTGTAATCGATTTGTATGTGTGGGATAGATCAAGAAACATCACCGATCAAGAAACATCACCCATTTGACAAGATCCACTGGACAACATTTGGTTTCTCGAAATCTGATTGTAAGAAAGATCAGTAACCTGAATAGAAAACCCAATCGGCTTCAACCCACGATTAAAATCGATTTACAGCCAAATCGAGCTCGTCGTAAAGGTGGAAACACTGGAAAAATAGCAATTAGATCTCGGCTACACGAAGAAGTCGAACTCTTCATCACCACCGTTGGAAACCCTAGCTGCATTGCCTGTCTAAACCATAGCGCCGCCATCAGATGAGAATTGTCTTCATGAAACCCTAGCCGCCTTGAACATCTCAGATCTGTGAGGGAGTAGCAGATGAAGAAGAAGGTAGATGAAGAAGCACAGTTTGTCGGTGGATTTGAATCAGATGCACGAGGGAATTGAATCAAATGTCGCTATGAACATCTCCAACTGGATGAACGAAGGTGATGGTGGCGGAATGGGGGGACGTTGAAGTTGAATCGGATGCAAGGGGGATGAGAGGAACATATTTATGTGTTGAGGCCAAATTTCTTTTGATTTTCATACCCATACACTAAAACCAAAGACGATTAATGGTGTTAAGGTTTTAGATGTGAGAGGCAGACAACAACTTGAGAG